AAATATATCATTATATATTATATAAACTTCACTATTCACCCCGATTGTAGGTATACCAAAACAACATCGAGTCATCGATTATACATATTTTCGTCTAATTTATCGTTCGGTGTTTTTTTTTTTTTTTAATAAACACTCTTTACACTTACTTTATCGTCTCTCAAATACATAATAATAATAATAATAATATATACCTACTGTACATATTAATTAAATTTCATTGTTTTTATCACGTCAAACTTATGCATCAGCAATGACTATGAATTTGCCAATGAGAAACTTAGGATGATATGAATGCTATAAGGGTTTAAGCACATGACAATACTATATGAGGTATAATTACGGCTTAAAATTATAGAACTATTGCGTCATATAACAATAAAACGTATAACAATAGAATTGAACCTAACCACGGTCCACGATTATGTATTGTGTTGTAGATAAGCTATAATAAGATTGTCTATCAAATACGCCATGTGCGAATAATAATACTATTATAGAAAACATTATAATCCATTACATAATATTATTCTCTAAAATGATTGCATTGATTTTATAATATACCATTATTTAAAATTTAATGTTTTTTTCTTTAAAAAAATGCCTCCGAATCAAAGCTTATAATATTATTTATGAACAGGCCCGGATTAATGCGCAAGCAGTGTAGGCTTCAGCCTACACAACCACGGATTCAGGGGTACGGGCACCGCATACTATCCTGATGTTATTTTAAATTTAAATTTAAATACATCGGAAATTTGAAATAGTAATAATCAATCATAGATAATATTGTTATAATATTTATTATCACTGTAATCAATAATAAAAAAAAGAAAAGTATAAATGAATGGTTCGTTATTTTTTATAATATGATTATTTTATATTTTTATAAATCTACAATATATTTAATTTAATTTTAATTTTATGTTTTTACTTGTTTTCACGTATTATATTTATATACATGTACATATTGTGGCTAATAAACCTAAAATAATATTTTATTATTTAATCAAGTATCGAGTAGAGAAATGTGCACAATATTTTTTTTTTTTAAATAGGGGCATCAAATTAGGCACAGCCTATATGGACACTAGATCTTAATCCGGGCCTGTATATGAATCTGTTATAAAATCGTGTTTTTCCAAAAGTGTTGTTAAAACGATATGACGTATACGTCACTACAATATAAAATTTCGAGATTGATTAAAATATATATAAATCTATCACACGTTTTGTTTAGACATATTTTTCGGTACTGCGTTGCACTTTTTGACATAAAAAAAATCCACCAGAAGCGCCGTATTCAGCCAATTCTGATTTGCCTGCGAGCGAATTACAATCAAAATCCAATTGCACTCAAACCGATAGAGATAATATTTAACCTAAACATATATACTTTAACCGTAAACCGATTTGACCTTTAAAGTACACTTGAATGCATTTCAACCGTACATCCAATACGTCGAAGTCTGCAGGTTTCCCAAAATAATACCATCATGTCCTTTATATAGTTGAGTAAAGGAGGATACAAATCACACAAATCTACGAATTGAGGAGAGATTAGAGGAAAAAAGTATATTTTAATAATATTATGTACAATATTATATATACCCTATAATTGATACACTAAAAAGTTGATTGTAAAAATATCTTCTTTTTTTAAGCTAGAATTTAAGTAATCTACAAAAAAAAAATTTATAGTAAGCATAATGGATGTTAACTTTAAGTGCAGTGGCTTGAGTGGTTTGACGTAAAAATATCAAATGCACAATGGTGTTTCAAAATTGTTATGAATCATAACTTATGAATTGTTATGATAGGTATCACACATTTTTATTTCTGCCAATCGCTGCAACCTTGCACCTGCACCAGAAATTGCTAACATATTATGTATATACCAACAAAATATTTATTTATATATTTTTTACAACGTTTCGGGTTTGTGACAAAACGTTATAAATTTAGTAATTTTTCTTTTTCTTTTTGAATGAGAACATAATATAATGGTTTTAATGCAATCTCTGAAAGCTGGATATTTTTCTAAATATTCCGTTACACAAAAATCAATTTTAAATATAGTAATTTATGAATTCCAAGTGTGTATTTTAAGTTTGGATTTGCGAAATAGGTACCTTCCACTAAAATCCGCTCAACGAGCATAAGATGTTTAGAAGTGATTCGTTTTAGGGGCCTCTGCCGTAAATTTTAATTCAAAAAACCTTTAGTTTTTGCAAAATTAAAGTTAAGGAGTTAAGGTACGTTATCGAATTTTTATTCGGATAAAAAAAAATTAAACTCGACAGAAAATCGTCATATTAGGTATACGGAACATTTTATAAATACTAAATCTATACAATAAGTGGAGTGCTATAA